CAGCCGACATGGAAGAAAATCTTTCTCAATAAAACTTTGTAGAGAATATGTATCTAACGCCCGCGCATGTGGTAATGACCAGCAGCATGATTCTACTCTCAATCGCTGAAAATCTAGGCTAGTGCAAGAACAAGCAAGTTTACCTGGTAATGGAAGTCTCTTAGACTGAACTTTTCACCCAGCTCATCCTCGGAATATTTTCTAGCTTCTTTTATCTCCAACTGACCAATCATGTAAGCGGTCGCTTGTCCAGGATCACTCTGGTACCGAGTCACCTGATAGGACAATTATAATAAGATTAAATTATCGACAAGGCAAACACTAAAGCTTGAACTTTTAGCTATGGAGTTACAATGGATGCGCTGCTGCTGCAAAAAAGTTGAAAATTGTTGTGATCTTCTTGAAATGCTGTTAAATAATTACCAGATAGCATGTTATAATCGCAGAGCTATTGCCAAAATTCCCGATTGAATTTATTTGTTAAAAAATAACACGTTTTTTTGTCGGGTTTGTCATAACCAATCAAAAGAAGGAAGGGAAAAAAAGAAGGATACAAGCGTTGGTGAACGGGGTGAAGGCAGAGAGAAGGAATAATAAAGAAAAAAAGGAGGGAGGAATTAATGAATAAATGATTGAATAAAGGAATAAGGAAAGGAAGAAAAGGTTAAGGTAGGCTAAGTCTGCATACGAGCTAAGTGGTCCAACAGGTACGGGTTTATCTCGGTTTCTGTAGCGACTAGGAGTATTTCTACTCCCCCCTGGATGGGATGCTAGTCCATCGCAGGGTCACTCTCAGCATTAAATTCGCTGGTACCCATTTATACACCCGGGTGGAGAGAGGTACTGTGAGAGTTAAGTGTCTTGCCCAAGAACACAACACAATGTCCCGAGCCAGGGCNAAAGAAGGATACAAGCGTTGGTGAACGGGGTGAAGGCAGAGAGAAGGAATAATAAAGAAAAAAAGGAGGGAGGAATGAATGAATAAATGATTGAATAAAGGAATAAGGAAAGGAAGGAAAGGTTAAGGTTGGTTAAGTCTGCATACGAGCCAAGTGGTCCAACAGGTAGGGAGTTATCTCGGTTTCTGTAGCATAAAGCGACTAGGAGTATTTCTACTCCTCCCTGGATAGGATGCTAGCCCATAGCAGGGTCACTCTCAGCATTAAGTTCGCCGGTACCCATTTATACACCTGGGTGGAGAGAGGTACTGTGAGAGTTAAGTGTCTTGCCCAAGAACACAACACAATGTCCCGAGCCAGGGCTCGAACTCGGACCGCTCGATCCGAAGTCGAGCACATTAACCATGAGGCCACCGCGCCTCCACAGCAAGCTACTTAAGACTTCTTTAAACCCAGTTCTTTTTACCTCCTTTTTTGCAACATCTGTATCGTCCCACGCATATTTACTAAAGTACTCCAGGGCCGTGTCTCTTGTGAAACCATAATAGTGCAAACCAGTGTCCACGATCAATCGGAGAGCTCGCCACACCTAAAGAAACAAAAGAGATTAAACCGTATACAGGTCATTTAGGTTAACAAGAGTTGCATAGAGCAGAAAGGTTACGTTTTAAGCTGACGAATGGCTGTAACGACGTTTGTTGGGAGTAAGTAATTTCTTTGTAATGTTTGTGTGGATAGTGTTACAATCGGCTGGTGTACTGAAACTTGTGTCCCATGTTTGGTTTGCTGTCGTTTCACGGTTTGTAAAGCAGCACTTATTAGGCAAAATTTCGTTCTTTCCTTCACTATTTAGACAAAAACCATGTCGCAAGTATACTCTTGAACGCAAGTAAATAGAAACCCAAACGATGCGACTATTTTTTTCACCGTTGACAGCCAGTGCCGAATTTGCTATTTTTCCATTCTATCTATCTTTGAATTGGATTGCCTCGAATCCTGTTTCTTTAAATCCCCGGTAAATATGTACACTTCCAAGAAATGAGCTACTGTTTTTTGTATTTACCTGCCATTGCAGCATTCCAAACTTCTGCATGGGCTCCTTCAAGTAGGTGTCAGTATCTTCAGCAATGAGTGGATTTTCAGCGTATAAGGCCCAACCTTCTGCAAATGCTGTGTAATAGTTTGCGCTATCAAGCCAAGCCATAATACCTCCACAGCTGTCACTGAAATGTTCCACATTACCCTGAACCTGTGAGGGAACAGGATAGATGTTATAACCAACCACTCACTGCAGATTATATCACGGGGAGATTCCCGTATGAAAGGGTCAGGGATGTTCGTCGTCTCGCTGAGGGGTATAAATCAAGGATTCTGGTCTCACTTAGCGTGTTTATGACAAAACGCCACTATTTTTAGCTCTCAAAGTATCTCTTAGGGCGCACTCGAAGAAATAACAATGAAAGAAACCCTCTTATCTCCGCTTTTAGCCTCGATTACCGCTGGTCTCTCATGTCTGGTCTACGAGAGTGGGCTCATTTCCTCAACAGCGACTGGTAATCTAGCCTATTCCGTTTTTTAGGAGTCAAATAAAGCTTTAGCCACACCCAGGTTGATCTATTTTAATTTAAATTTTCTGACGAGTATCCCCAGCCTTTTCATATAGGGGGCATATGGCAAGTTTTGGCTCATAATGTTTTAGTCAGGTAGATAAAAAATTGAGGTTAGTAAATCGTCGTAATGAATATCTACTGCGGCCAGTCCATTTTGCCAGGTGAAGTTAAGATGGGTCAAGAAACATTAATTACACTATCTAAACATTTTGGATAGGCGTTTCTAGGGATAAACAGGTTAAGAACCAATGATATCGTGCTACATCAAAAGCATCATTGAATCCATGTCCACAATGGAGTTGATCGGTTCCTTTGATGCATCGTGATACGAATGATC